CTGATAGTTGTCAAATCTCAATTTAGTATGTTAGAACCTTTCCTGGCAGTATGACAGAACATGCTTTTTACCTTAGACCGTGTATTTGGGATAAGCACATTCTTTTTTATCAAGACAAACCACAAAGAGGTTTTGTCTGGAGACAAGAATAACTGAATCTAAGATGCAAAATTTTTATGCCCTTTACCAAGTACAGCAAGTGCCAATGTGTCCACAGATTTACTATTCCACAAAACAGGGTCCACAAGAAAGAGTAAGGTGACTCAGGAAAGTGTCCACATATGTTATGTTATATACAAACAAACAATTTTTTAAAATCATAAACAATACCTCCACCAGATTTTAGAACTTGTAATGATATAAGTTAGTTCACTTTACAAATAAAAAAGAAAATTTTAATAGATTTTCCTCAATTTCCTTTAACTCACCAATGTGATGTTTCATAAATGTTTGAGCTGGTCTACTCAGGAAAGATTTTTCTTGAAATAGGTTTGTTTGGGCTTCAACATTTTTTGCTTGTGTTTTTATTTTGCTGCAGTTGTGCAAATATTTAAAACTGAAAATTCACATTCACCTAGCTTCAGTTACAGGGTGTGCACCAGTTCCCCTTCAAAATCACAGCATCACTACTGGACAGAGATTTTTCCTTCTCCCTCTCCCAGCCTGAACAAGTGCATCTCTCTCTAGCCACAGGGCTCAGTGCTGTACACACTGTTCACCTTGTAGGCTGCATACTCATACCCAAACCAACCAACTGCAAGCTAAAATGTGTATCAAGGTGCTTTTTTGAGTTGCTTTTTGTTTACACCAGAGTACAACTGGATTGGTTTTTGTTACTGCTGTTAATGAAGTGCACATCCATCTTCAGGCAATTTCTAAGGACTGCTAAGGATGTGGGATACAATGGGATTTCAGCTGCAGGTAAACTGTAAATTGTGGAGACCAAACAGGTTCTGATTTAATCACTGTGGTACTCCATAGATATTGCCAGAAAACAAAGTACCAGTTTGTAACCACAAGCTAAAGATCACTCTTGCAGCACCCTGTGAAGTCAGTCTAAAACTTCATGGGACAGATCTGTAACAGTCATGACTTCATACAAATTAGTGCAGTTTTCTATACCATGATAACTTGTTTTCAGCCACATTGGCTTGTAGGTGAAAAACAACTGCCAGGATTATTACAATGGTGTGCATTTATATTTATGCTGGTCTTTGGGCTCAGATCAAAGCTGGTAAGGCTAAAATTTCCAATAGCTTCATATACCAGAGGTTACCAAGAAAACCCACACAGCTGCTGTTAGTCCTCCAAACCAGCTTTCAGTTCACTGGCATGTTTTTGCAAATTAAGTTTTGGAGAGCAAGAGGTTTCTCCCACCTGTTGTATGGACCAAAAATGCTTTTTCTAAAGATTCTGATACCAGACCTTTTCTGCTCAGGAAGAATTCACATCAAGTTGCATATTGGAGACAGCTTGTGAACATTTACATGGAGAAGGCTGGAAAATGCCTGGTGACAGTTCATTGTTGTATGAAATGAAGCACAAAGCTTTAGCTCACTTAACCATGAGATCTAAATGGCATTGCAGTACTAAACACAATATTCTAAGCCTGTGTCTTTGCTTCCTTGGCTGAATATCTTTGGCTGAGGCAGAATGATCAGTGAACATTTGGAAGACAGAAAGGAAAGCAGAGGTGTTTAATCACAGGCTGGAGCCTGCTTGAAGGCAGGGACTGGCAAGCTTCCAAGAATGGTGCAGCAGACATTCCCTCTTTCTTCCTCCAACTTAGAAGATGAAGCATATTGGGAAATGTTGTTTTTCAAAGAGCCAAGATGTTGCCAACTTGCTTACCAGCAGTGTTCTGCCTCGAGCAAAGCAGACCTTTTCAGCTTTCACTGAATGCAACCTGCCCCTGTGCTATTCCAATCTGACCACCCACTCCACAGGTTACTCACCCTGCCATAATCCTGCCTCCTGCTTTGCTGAGTTCTGCCAAACATCACAACGTTTGAGGGAACAGATGGAAGTTGAAAAAGACAACTTTGGACTATTTTGAATGGCTAATCTCTCCCTTTTTCATGTATCTGGGATCAAGGGAACAGAAATTCTGTGCTCGTATTTTCTGACAAAGATACAGGAGAAGCTTTATGACAGTGCAATGAATGAAATGAATACAATGTATTATATACAGTTTGCTTACTTCACTTTTATTACAAAACAGCTATCATTAGGGAGACCTACACCTTTTATAACTCTTTCCAGTTAAGTGCAGGTTATAACTAAAATGACTGCTTTGGCACAACAGGATAGTGCAAACTGGGAGAACTAAAATGGGACACAAGACCTAATGTGGAGGCTGGACACATTTTTACAAGGAGTTCAGAAATGTGCAAGTGGGACCATATGTGCTCCCTCATCTTGGGACAGAACACCTGGAGGGACTCCCTGTGGCTTACAGTTGGAAAAAGGAAAGGCTAAAGGACTGGATTGCTCTAGGATGTTATACATAAGCAAAGTGAAACAGTTCTGCAACATGTTTAGCAGCTTTTCCATCATGTCCAATGTTTTTTTTTCCTTTATGTCCCTTTCTCTTTCAAACTTTTCCATGTGATCCCTTGACAATGTCTCAGCATGTCACACAGGCCTTTGCTTGTCTTGCCACACAAACTTCCTCTCTTTGAGCACTTTGCCTGCTGCTGGAATCCCTTCACATGGCTAGAGATGAAGAAGGATGTTTGCCTTCTCGTTCCTCAGGTTTACCAAACGATTAGTACCATCCCTTCCTCTGTGGGCTGTGCCATGCAAGATGCTAGGAGAACAGAGAAATCAAAGGAATAATTATTAATCTAGTGTTATTAAAGCGCTAGTTCCTCGTATTTTCCATCCCACTGCCCAACTCTCAAATTTCAATCCTTTATTCTCCTCCCAGACAAGATAAACTCAAATGTCAGACTATTTTTTTATTCCAGTTGAGCTGCTGTCCCATATGGTAGCAGCATCCCTGAACAAAACCATGGGTATGTGTTTTTAGGGAAAAGGTCAGCGTTCAAATTCAGATAAATTAGTATTTTCACAACGGTGTTTTTTAAAAAGCAGAGAAGTAGTATTAAAGAAAGGCAAAAAAGTAACTGGGAAAAGGCATGGATAGTTCTATATGCTCATACAATAACATCTGAGCTATTTCTGAAAAGGGAATACTATACACACAGATGCTGGGGGAAAAATGGCACGACAAACATGCCTATTACTTATGAACACCAGCTGATAGTCACAGACCATTTCCAAAGTGAACACAGTTTTGCAGGCATGATGTATGCCTTTTTTTTGGGCTTGTTTAACCATGAAGTGCACAGCAAAGCAGAAAGGAGAAAGCTAGAAAGCTTTTACAGTTTCTGCAATTACAAACACTTACAGATGCAACACCTGGGAAGAGCTCCTTAACACCAGCTGGTAAGTATGTTTAAATGTTAACATTTTTATGTATGTGAAGTTAAAAACTGAAGGCATTAACCAGCTTTGGCCTTAGTTTTTCCTTTCTGTTTTAACTTGACCAAACTAAGACTGCCTGAAGTAGTGCACATATCAATTAAGATAACCCATACTGTTGTATCCTCATACACTGATAAGAACGGACTAATGTGAGGGTAAGGCAATTGAGAAGCAGGAACATTTAGAACATTAGTATTAGAGCTGTACAGGGCTTTTGGCATCTGCTAGTGTTTAGCACAGTTAGTTTGAACAAGTTTCTTCATGGATTAATAGTTCTAGCCTGGTTATAATTTTGGCTGTAGCAAGAAAAGACAGAGCCTGCTCAGCTTAAGAGAACGATAGCAGCAGCCTTGTCCACAATCTGCTGTGCTAACATCCATGGGATAGAAAGGCAACATCCATTACCCAGAAGAAGCACTTTTGAATTTACTAGAATCCACATAAAATAGTACAAGCAAGAACATCATCTCTGTACTTACCAAGTCAGGTTCCCTCTGCAGGACTGCCAGTCTATATCCCTGGGAGACATCATATTTGATCTTCCATACAACAGTCTTGGCTGTCCAGAGAAGTTATCTTCTACTTAAGAGTCCATAGGTGCCTGCGTAGCTTCCAGTGAGGTTTCTGCTGTAGTTTGGGCACAATGCTCACTAATCCAAGAGATCCTCTCTGCCAAATTCAGCTCATCTCCATAAAGCACACAGGTCCTGCAAATGGTTTTCTGAAGGCTTGTGTTCTTTATAAATCTGCATCAGGTTTCTTGACTGCTGTACACATCCCTGAGTTACTCTTCTCTGGAGGTTTGTTCAACTGCCTAGTGCTGGATGATCTCCTAGCTACTGGGAACATAATCTAAATATGGTCATTTATCTCTTCATGGAGAAAAGAGTCCAGAATCTTTGTTGGAAATACAGGGCAGATGGAGGCTGTGGTCAGTTTTACAAGCCTAATTTTACAAAACCTGGATGTGCAGCAAACAGATGCTACTGGTACACCCCAACATAAACAGGAGGCAGACAGCTGGTCTGGAGGATTCTAAAGCAACGTGTATGCGGAAAAGCTACTAATGCAGTGTTATGAACCTGGAATTGGCATCTGTTCACACCAGCCTTGTAGTGGTGTGGTTTATTCTGAAACTGAGGTATGTCACTTCAAGGCAAATCAACTGTAGTTTGATAACAGACTAGAAGAACTCGTGAGGATATAGCATTGGTTTGTATTCGTTTTAAGTATAAAATCTTTCCAGTTTAGACCAGGTCTAAGCTCGCACAAAGAAGAAATCAGGTTAACAGACATTTAACTTAGGTTCATTAGTAACTTATATCATTTGTGTGAATGAAAACATTCACTCCTCTGCCATTTAGCACAGGTGGATATATTGGCATTACTAGACAGTTTATAAAAATTTACAGAGCTGCAACGCAGTATTTAGAGTGTTTCTAAGCACAGTACTGAAATGTTATGTTATTAAAC